CTGGACTTGATTATCACTCGATGATRATGATGATGCAGACGCAAGCACTTCAGGCGGAGATGGATTTTCTTGATAGATTTTGACAGTGGGGATAAAGTCCCGTTTCTTTTCATTCACATCAAGAAACTGTTGAAGATTCTGGTTGTATTGAGATACCTTTTTATCCTCGCTCTCTGAAGTGTCGCCTAGAATCCCGTCCATTTGTTTTTCAAGTCGAATCATCTTTTTAGTCTCGGGCGTGGTCATCAAAGCTTCTTTATGTTCCAGCATTTTCATGAATTCTTCAGGTACCAAAACCATCCTTTTWGTRAACTTCATTACTTTTTGGAAAATGCTTCTTGCAGAAACGAAATTACTGGTGGTAAAAGAGTAAGCAGAAGAGATCCTCCGGTCTGAACAAGATGCTTTATAGGTATCTGACGCTCCGCTAAGTTTCTGAGATGCTTTTTGAACCTGTGAAGTTTAGCCTTCTGAGCTGATGTTAACTTAACAATTCCTTTTAAGACGTTGATGGCGATTTCTGATATAGTTAAAATCAAGTCTTTGTCGCAATGTTCAATCAGAGTTTTGCGCTGCTTCTTGTTACACTTGACTAAAACGTTAAGAAAATCAATGCTACGTCTTACACGGTCCGACATTTTACTCAAAATGATGTATTTCCTTGTGTTTGCTAATTTTTATCTCAAAGCTTCACGTAAGCCATGTGCCTCTCGTCCGGAAAAATATGAGTACGAAGTCTAAAACTGCTGGGCGTTGTTGGATGCATGTCGAACAACAAATATCCGAACGGTTTATCGGTAGCATCTTGAAAACTTTCCAATGCGTGCAAGCGATCCTTTCTGCTTCAAAACACTTGTTGAATTAGTGTAGAAATCCCCAAAGAGTCACGACAGTTTTTAAAGGCAAAAATGTAGTGACAGTTCAAAGAAATTGTTCGTGAAAATTTTCCAGGAGGAAAGAGATTTTGCACAATGTAGATGACTGTGATGTTTCGGTGATGAGAATGTTTGGTCATGATATCTGACATGAGTTGATTATTTGAACACGCACCCATCAGATCGTCCACAATCAAGATACCTGGTTGATTTTCAAATAAGTCCAGTATATCTTCTGGAAATCCTTGCACAAAATTTATATTGGGAATCTGTTCCTTAAATTTGACAAAGCAGGGTTGATAGGCTCCATAGCAGTAAATTATCTTGGGTATTTCATC